AATGTTTGAGTTGTTGAGTTATAATTATTATTTTTAATTTGGAAAATAACTGCATTTTAAAGAAAGCGACAAAACTTTTGACTCTGTAAAACATGTACAAAGCGTTGAAAGTTGAATTCTATAGTAAGTGGGAAAATGCTAATTAAAATGAATAGTGACAACAAGAAAAGAGGTAAAGCATGAAAGTGTGAGAATTAAAAAGATAGTTTTAGATTTACAGGATGTAATTGCTGATTCAAAGATAGTTGTTCTCTTTGAATATGAATAGCCTCTTTTATCTGAAGCTGAAAGCTGGTGGAGGCGTGATCTAAAATATGGAAGCTATCTGTAGAACACAAAGCGCGACGATGTGGAGAATCTTTCAGATGCCTGAGAATGTGTGAGGCCCTGTCACTGACTTAGTGCTCTCTAACAAGTGTGGAAAAATGCCGGCAGAGTTTTCATCGACGTAGCAGGCATTACAGCCAGCACATACAAACTTCTAAACTACACGTGAACGGAGCCCGTCAGGGACAGGGTCTTTCACACCAAACAAGTTACCGATTTTGAAGGAAGAGAAAATCAGTTTGATATCCAAGTAATTGCAATAGCGCTTAATAAAATGGCAGATCTTTTTTTGAGTGATAGCAGAGAAGTGGCCTATGTAGGGTAGCTTAAAGTAGAACGTAGGTGAAGTGGTAGGAAGGGAATCCCGGGGATGATGATTGTTTTGGGTCCCAGTGATGAAACGGTTTATAATCTCGATTAAATAAGCAGGGAAAAGATTCTTTTTAGAATATCAGTAAGATTTTTAATGTCCTCGTGAAACCCTAACCAGGTGCTATTAATCTTGTAAGCCCTATCAACGAGTGTCTTAATGAGACCCACTTTGTAAGAGTACGAGGTGAAGCTGAAATAATTAGTTAGTAACCCAGTGAAAGTTTTCTTGTGGTAAATCCTAGTTAGAGAGGAATTGGGCTCATGGTTGTCAACCAGGACATCTAAAAAGGGTAATTTGTAATTAATCTGCTTTTCCATAGTGAACTTGATGTTAGGGTGCCTAGAGTTGATATAGTCGAAAAATATAGTGGCATCTCGATCTGAGTTAAATAAGCAAAAAGTATCATCAACATACCGGCGATAAAATAAAATTGTAGAGCCATGAAAATTTTCCAACCAAAGTTTTTCGTGATGTCCCATAAAAAGATTGGCTAAGACAGGAGCAAGGGGAGACCCCATGGCTACGCCATTTATTTGATCATAAAAAGAACCATTAAATATGAAATGAGTCTGGGCGGTAACTCCAATGAAGAGACTTCTAAGTTCAGATTTGTTCAACTTAATGTCGGGACTACCGTCGGAAATGTAATTGACTGCTAAGTCAATACACTCCTCAAGAGGTATGTTAGTAAAGAGACTTTCAACATCAAAAGAGACCATAAACTTACGAGATATAGATAACGATTGGATGTCCTGTACAAAAGTAAAAGTGTCAGTGGCACAGTAATCAGTTGGAATGTGAGATGAGATGCCAGGTGAGATGAGATGCCAATTGTATGTTCCTATAGAAGATACGACGGAGCGAAATGGCGGTGTAGAGTTAGCTTCACGATTCTTATGCATTTTTGGGAGGGCCGTAAATTCTTGCTGGAAGAGGGGGAGTGGTGAAGAGAGGCGAAGACCAAATTTTTATTTGAGAGTGTTTTAGGACAGAATATTAACACATTACGAGGGTTGTCTCGTTATGAGCTGAAATCGAAAACACGGGTAGATGCTCAGCTAGAGAGCGTGAAGGTTACAACTTTTTTTTCAACAATTACAGCTCTCGAAAAGTCAGGCATTGATATCCCAAGAACCCATCTTTAATTCTGAGCCGCTTACAGAATAAAACTTAAGACGATTCACGTGAGGTTCTCAGCGCACAAAAATGTTTCCATGTGGGTTTTGCACGTTTCTCAACTGGTTTGGTCGATTTTTACCACAAGGATCATGAGTTGGTGAGTTAATTCATGTGTCCCCGTCAAAGTAGTAATAAGTACTTCCAGCAGTGAGGAGAGGTCTGCGACTGGGAAGACTCATAGATTTTGGTACCGTTCCAGTGCACTGATTGGAAACCTGCTTCACCAGTTTACAAGAAAGTGACCCCTTCTTGTGTTGCACTATGCTATCAGAACCTTCCTTGCATGCAATCCAGTTGTCGATGTTGCTCTTGATCAGGAATTCCTTGCCAATGCTGCGCCACAAAGAAAAGTCCATGGCCTCATACTGCGTCTCGCTCAGTGGAACTGTTTTAGACACTCGAACGTTAGCGCCGCTAGCTGACCAAGATGGGCGCGGAGTGACAGCGTTTCGGCCGGTCCAGAAGCTTGAGTAGGTAGTGAAAGTGTAACTGTAAACTAGCGTCCAACCCCCTCCGTCTGTTTGCTGGTCGCAGTAGACCTGGAAAGCGTTACTACGGGAACCGCCATCAGGATCTATCCAATAGACGCCTGACACGGCGTAAGGGGACTCTCAGCACTTGTTATATAAAAATATTATACATAAATATAAATCTGCTAAGTCTTTGGACAATCCTATGAAGTCTATAAAAACAAGATAGAAATGTAGCCAGAGGGCATTCCTATCAAATTTGCTCATAAATGATTTTCTGATTGTATATATATCACTGAACGCTGGTAAATTTCGGGCGAAAGAATAAAATTAAGGGTATCTAATCCGCTATTTTTCTCAGAAGTATAACTCCAGCCCAATTATTTTGTTGGATCACAGATTGGTGCTGGGTCTATTGCAATTCAAGACTTAGTTATATAAAAATATTATATATGTGGGCCGCTAAAAAGGATACGCGACTACTGGCTGTTGATGATGGTTTGTAGGGAAAGAAACGCCGTTTAAAAGTTTTAAACATATAGCGTCATTCACATTTAAGAGCTAATGTCAGCATGCATCAAACAAACAGCGGCAAGTCACCCAAATTTTTTTTCCCTCCTACTTTTATATTTTGTAGCCCAATATGTTCTAATAATTATGGTGTGGTTTTTTTGTAAAAATATATTTTAGTTTTCGAGAAACAATTTTTTTGGTTCGACCGCTCAAATATGCAAATTTTCACCGTGAATATTACCCGAGTTGTGTGACCTCATGTATCGAATGTACCGGACCTTCGGTATTTCTGTGAACATAATCCTTTGTTTTATCATCTAAACTTAATCCCCTGTCGTTATTGAAGCTGCCAAAGAAATATTTACTTTTTGGTGAATATTTTTGTGCGACATACTTTTCCTATGTCGAAAAGTAGCATCAAAACAAAGACAGTTTTAACAATGACCGATATGACACAATCTACTGAGCTTCAAGCTTTCATAAGACAAAAGGTCGGTTACAAAGTTACTGTAAAAATTTCCTTGTGTATTTGTGTTGTTCTATCTTAAGACGAACTCAAAGTCCGGCAAAATCTACTTGATAGCGACTATGAAATGTACATGGTGCGCCTTCTTGTCGCCACCGTTAACTGGCATAAATCACTACAATTTGCAAAAAAAATCTAACATAACACTCTTGAAGTATTGACGAGCCTGCATGACATCCGGAAGCGATTTTAAACTTCTGTCTTCATAGATTAGTTTTGATCAGGATATATTTTGGAAGAGGAGTGGTTGACAAGGATCTTTTAAGATGCTACATCAAATTTATTCCTCAAATATTGAAGATTTTGTTAACTAAACCTTACAAAAGGCTTTGAAAAAAAAATTTAATCAGATTGTAGTGGTTCGTTTTATATCTAAACTACTGTTTTAACTTTACTGATTTCGCTTTACTTTAAAGCCTTACTTACGTCAACGTTTTTCTGTGCTTGTGATATTGGAAATATAATTTTTGCGTTGTTCAGTTGAAGGTTTCTTTATTCTTCTCTTTCTTACATACAACTTATTACCTCGGGACTAACTCAGATCTAACAAGAAAAGTGTGGGTCTCCACTTATAAAAGGGACGCTTACTGAGCTGCCAATCTCTAACCTTCGTCATCCTTTTACACTTAACTAGCGAATCACGTTAAGCTACGCAGAGTGGAGTTCGCATACTAAGTAGATACCTTCGAGATGTTTACGCTTTACAAAATCCTTAAATTTCTTAGTCTTACAGTCAATGTTGGTCATAACTAAAACAAGATTGATAATATAAAAATTGTAATGAAATTATCAACAGAATTAGAATCATACTTGAAAATATATTTTAAGAGGAAATACTTCTCGAAGACTGTTACATAACAGCACAATAAACAGAAAATTTGGAGAAGAAAGGGCGTACCCAAGGTACTGCCCCTAAAAGAGCTACGTGCTATTCGTATAAATTACCTGATTATAAATTCAGTGCGGAGGATGAAAAGTACTACTTGTTTACACCTTAAGTCACCTCTAAGAAAAAGAGGTGTCGAGCGTGCTAAATTATACCTGTAAGATAAGACCGCCAAAAGGAATAAGAAATGATCAACTGGCTTATTATAATTTTTACTGAATGGCTTATGCTAATATACTATTTCCATTCATTTCCAACGTTTAAATAAGTAAAAAAAAAAACACTGGATAGATACAAATTTCGTCTTTTAACAATATTGAAAACGAAAGCACAAAAAATTGAACTAGATCTAATTTGGGATAGCTCCTTTTTTAATTTCAATGAAATACCAAATAAAGTATGTTCTCTACTTTGCTCTATTCAATTTATGCATCTAAAAGTCTTTTAGCTCTGTTTCCTTCGAGTGATTCTCATTATTTACTCTGTCGGGGCTCTTTCTCTGTAAAAAAAAATGAAAAAAAAACAGCAATTTATTATTAACTCGATTAATATTTTGGATATGAAGCAAATACAATTATACCAAGCTTAATATCTAAAAATATAAATGGCTAGCACTTGTATGTGATTGGCAGAGAGGCCCTTTCGAGATTCTATATTTACACCAGAGAGCGTCGATAGTAACTCTCCGAAAAGAAAAAAAAAATATCTATATATGGATATATACCGAACTACCCTTGATGGTAGCAAAGGATCCCCGCCGACAGTCAGCAACCAGTAAACCACAGCTACCTTCACATCTACTTAGACTTTAATTTGTGAAATATCTTTTCGGACTGAGTCTTACCTCTGCTTGTCAAACCCGAGTCTCACATCATCTCCAATCAGCGTAAACGAAGCCCACTCAGACACACTGGTAGACTTGCTTTTTCTCATCCACTTCATGGCCTGATGGAGGGATTCACTGGCACTTTCTCCCTCTACAAGGTGTTCGTAGAACCGACTCATCAGCTGCTCTGTTGCTGAGTCTGAAATGGCCCACAGCGCAACCAACACCGAGCGAGCACCGGATCCTAAGAACGCACGGGCAATTCCTATAACTCCCTCGGCTCTAATGTCACCTCTTCCACTGTGACAGCAGCTAAGTACCACCAGTTTAGCTCTGACTTTCACTCGTGATACATCAGCCATCGTCAACATGTAATCTTCATGTGGTAAGATAGCGTTTCGCCTGTTGGAAGTACTAGGGATGGGGGAGAGGGCAATTTCTCCTCTCTCGGCGTCACCATGGGCAGCAAAATGAATGAGGCTCACTGAACTTATCCGCTCAAGCACCGCCTGCTTTGTTGCTTCTTCTCCTACCAGAGGCAGAACACCCACCAGTCGTCCGACCATTTCCGCTTCCTCTCTCGCACCTGGCAATGACGGCAGCCAATTAACCTTAGGGTTGCCTATTATCAAGGCACCAGTGTTGCTGTGATAGTCCTCTGGGCTATCTTGAATAATCTTGAGTGTTGTCAAAGAAGGAATGACACGGATTCTATGAGTCTCCGAGAGGTATTGGGCTCCCTCCTTTTCACTCAGTGCAGCAAAGGGAACTTTGTACAAACTGCGGTCAGGAACGATGATGACTTCAGGCTCCTCAAGCAAATCATAAACGGGAGCAATAAACATTTTGTAACACAAAAATAGACTTGAAATCACTTTCTCGTCCTCATCCTCGTCCTCGTCCTCGTCCTCCTCCACGAGTCGCAATCTTGCTGAGCTCTTCTTTGCGGGGGAGAGAGGTCGCAATTTAACCATATTTAAAGACCGATCTTCACAATCTTTAGTGGGCAAAATACCAAGACTCCGGAAATTATCATCCAAAAATTTACTCAAAGGCAAATCTTTGGGCAACCCAGCCTGAACTAGATTCTCTTCTACTGATATTCTTCTATAGTGAAGGACTCCACTTGTCTTTAAGATCCACAAACGCAGATCATTGTGAAAATAAGAAATGTACAGACAAGTACAGTTATTTTTCTTTCTAAAAATGTTCTCAACGCCAAACCAAGATTGCGGATTAGCAGAGATGTGCGTTTCAACCGAGTACTTCTCTACCATTAAGTCTGATAGGCCTCTAGCTCGACCCAACTCCTCAACATAAAGAGCATCCCGAGCATTTCCGGTGTCACAAAGCAAACTACAAAGCAGCTTGTAGGGAAATATTCCTGAGTGCTCCAGAAGTGATGTTTTGAAGTGATCATTGGCGCCCAAGAAATATCTCAGCTCCTCATACTTTTCAATGCAGAGATGAAGATACGAACGGGCTTCTTTTTTTTTATCTTGCGACAAATACAAAATGGCGTAACTTTGAAGGATTTCGAACTCTTTTCTTCTATCTCCAATATCTCTGGATATCGATAAAGCTTTCTCTAAGCATACTTCTGAGGCTTCATAATCTCCCATAGCTCTACACACACGTCCAAAGTTTGCAAGATCTGCTGCTTTCCCTTCTTTATCACCAATTTCGGTTCTGATGACAAGCGCTTTTTGGAGATACTCTTTAGCCTTGTCGTATTGCCCGAGCGACTGAAACACACAACCTAGGCCTCCATAACATGATGCTTCCCCTTGTCTGTCGCCAATTTCAGTTTTGATGACAAGCGCTCTTTGGAGATAATCTACAGCCTTGTCATATTGCCCGAGCGACTGAAACAAATTACCAAGGTTTCCGTAGTCAGTTGCCTCTCCATCTCTGTCGCCAATTTCAGTTTTGATGACAAGCGCTCTTTGGAGATACTCTTCAGCTTTGTTGTATTGTCCGAGCGACAGAAACACAGTACCTAGGTTTCCATAACAGGATGCTTCCCCATTTCTGTCGCCAATTTCAGTGTGGATGACAAGCGCTCTTTGGTGATAATCTTCAGCTTTGTCATATTGCCCGAGCGACTTTTCTGTCGCCAATTTCAGTTTCGATGACAAGCGCTCTTTGGAGATATTCTTCAGCCTTGTCGTATTGCCCGAGCGACAGAAACAAAGTACCTAAGTTTCCATAACATGATGCTTCCCCATTTCTGTCGCCAATTTCAGTTCTGATGACAAGTGCCTTCTTCAGCTTTGTTGTGTCACCGACATGATGCTTCCCCTTTTCTGTCGCCAATTTCAGTTGTGATGACAAGCGCTCTTTGGAGATACTCTTCAGCTTTGTCGTATTGCCCGAGCGACTGAAACAAATTACCAAGATTTCCGTAGTCAGTTGCCTCTCCTTCTCTGTCGCCAATTTCAGTTCTGATGACAAGCGCCTTTTGGAGATACTCTCTAGCCTTGGCGTATTGTCCGAGCGACTGAAACACAGTACCTAGGTTTCCATAACATGATGCTTCCCCTTTTCTGTCGCCAATTTCAGTTTTGATGACAAGCGCTCTTTGGAGATACTCTTGAGCCTTGTCGTATTGCCCGAGCGACTGAAACAAATTACCAAGATTTCCGTAGTCAGTTGCCTCTCCTTTTCTGTCGCCAATTTCAGTTGTGATGACAAGCGCCTTTTGGAGATACTCTTGAGCCTTGTCGTATTGCCCGAGCGACTGAAACACAGTACCTAGGTTTCCATAACATGATGCCTCTCCTTTTCTGTCGCCAATTTCAGTTCTGATGACAAGCGCTCTTTGGAGATACTCTTCAGCTTTGTCGTATTGCCCGAGCGACAGAAACACAGTACCTAGGTTTCCATAACATGATGCTTCCCCAATTCTGTCGCCAATTTCAGTTTTGATGACAAGCGCTCTTTGGAGATAATCTTCAGCTTTGTCGTATTGCCCGAGCGACTTAAACAAACAACCAAGGTTTCCGTAGTTAGTTGCCTCTCCTTTTCTGTCGCCAATTTCAGTTCTAATGACAAGCGCTCTTTGGAGATACCCTTCAGCTTTGTTGTATTGTCCGAGCGACAGAAACACAGTACCTAGGATTCCATAACATGATGCTTCCCCATTTCTGTCGCCAATTTCAGTTCTGATGACAAGCGCTCTTTGGAGATACTCTTCAGCCTTGTCGTATTGCCCGAGCGACTTAAACAAATTACCAAGGTTTCCGTAGTCAGTTGCCTCTCCTTTTCTGTCGCCAATTTCAGTTCTGATGACAAGCGCCTTTTGGAGATACTCTTGAGCCTTGTCGTATTGCCCGAGCGACAGAAACACAGTACCTAGGTTTCCATAACATGATGCTTCCCCATTTCTGTCGCCAATTTCAGTTCTGATGACAAGCGCTCTTTGGAGATACTCTTCAGCTTTGTCGTATTGCCCGAGCGACTGAAACACAGTACCTAGGTTTCCATAACATGTTGCTTTCCCATTTCTGTCACCAATTTCAGTTTTGATGACAAGCGCTCTTTGGAGATACTCTTCAGCCTTGTCGTATTGCCCGAGCGACTGAAACAAATTACCAAGATTTCCGTAGTCAGTTGCCTCTCCTCTTCTGTCGCCAATTTCAGTTCTGATGACAAGCGCCTTTTGGAGATACTCTTGAGCCTTGTCGTATTGCCCGAGCGACGTAAACACAGTACCAAGGTTTCCATAACATGATGCTTCCCCTTTCTCTGTCGCCAATTTCAGTTCTGATGACAAGCGCTCTTTGGAGATACTCTTGAGCCTTGTCGTATTGCCCGAGCGAATTAAACAAATTACCAAGATTTCCGTATTCAGTTGCCTCTCCTCTTCTGTCGCCAATTTCAGTTCTGATGACAAGCGCCTTTTGGAGATACTCTTGAGCCTTGTCGTATTGCCCGAGCGACAGAAACACAGTACCTAGGTTTCCATAACATGATGCTTCCCCATTTCTGTGGCCAATTTCACTGTGGATGACAAGTGCTCTTTGGAGATACTCTTCAGCTTTGTTGTATTGCCCGAGCGACAGAAACACAGCACCTAGGTTTCCATAAGATGTTGCTTCCCCATTTCTGTCGCCAATTTCAGTTTTGATGACAAGCGCTCTTTGGAGATAATCTTCAGCTTTGTCATATTGCCCGAGCGAATTAAACAAATTACCAAGGTTTTCGTAGTCAGTTGCCTCTCCTTCTCTGTCGCCAATTTCAGTTCTGATGACAAGCGCCTTTTGGAGATACTCTTGAGCCTTGTCGTATTGCCCGAGCGACAGAAACACAGCACCTAGGATTCCATAACATGATGCTTCCCCAATTCTGTAGCCAATTTCAGTGTGGATGACAAGTGCTCTTTGGAGATACTCTCTAGCCTTGGCGTATTGTCCGAGCGACAAAAACACAGTACTTAGGTGTCCATAACATAATGCTTCTCCTCTTCTGTCGCCAATTTCGGTAGCTATAGCAAGGGCCCTCTCAAAATATTCCTTCGCCTTTAGGTTTTCGCCAAGTGTTTTAAGCATAATTCCAGACTTTCTGTATAAGGCAAACAGCATCTCGCTGAAAACAACTATAAAGATGTCTTTGCTGTTTTGATCGGTGCTATTTAGCAAAATCAAACATTCCCTGCATATCTCAATGGCTTTCTGAATGCGATTTGAGTTGAGCAAGAACACGGAAACATAGAAGGCGATGGTCATGAAAGCTATCATGGCTTCTGCTATTAGGTTTCCATTGCCATCCTCTCCTGTAATCAGGGAAACATTATTTTTAGTAACGCAATACAAAGTGATTCGATAATCTGGATTCATAATGAGTCACTACAAACCGGAACACACATGTTAAGTTTCAAAAGCAGACTTGGTCGATTTCACCTTGAAACTTTTTGTAACGAGCTGAAAGTGTTAGAATTCACTATATCGGCTTTAAAAAAAATTGAAGAAGGGTGTGGATAAGTACAACTGGAACACATCAACGGATCACATTCGGTGAAACTTTTAAAATTTTATTTGACCTGCACAGATTCTTTGAAACAGACTGTGTGACTGTCACGCTATGAAAGTCATCTGTTATCCAAATGATTTTTGATCCAGCTGTTTCGTTTATTCTTCTTATCAAGTAAAAAAAAAAAATGACGCATGCTTGAGTTTGATTAACGATCGTATGTCGGGGGGTCGCGCCATCAATTAGGTGGTTTTGAAAGGTTGCAGGTTTCTTAAAAAAACAAGAAGGATTGATAAACCTTTTACTACAACGTTCTGGGAACATTTGAAAATGTTGTTCTAGCAGTTTATCACCGGTTAACGAGCTTACTTATCTGAGGTATATGGCTGAAAACGAATCTATTCGTAACTGATAAGGATGATTGCCAGGATTTGAGGTAACAGTGGTTTGACAAACTCGGTTTGTCACCCTTCATTTTACTTAAGTTGTGATTTTTGCACAACATGACATGACTCTAAAGTCACAGGATAAAGATAAACAAAACAGCATTTATCTTAACTTTTGCTGTGAGAACTTTCCCCTTGCATAGTTTCTATAAACAACATTAATCAACGGGGTAAGTTTCTAAAAAAACTTTGGTGGGATATACAATATAATTTGGCTTTACCAACTGAGTTGACAATGTAAATTGGCCATTGTGATGAGTTTCTGAAGCTGACGTTTCGAACGTTAGCCCTTCATCAGAGCATTTGATAATCTTGGGGAATCAATGATGTTGTACTACCAGTATTCTGCAAAGAAACTAGCAAAGAATTTCTCCAAAAGTACACCGATTCTAGAACCGAAACTACCCACCGAGCTGGTTATCCTCACACCCGTCATTTGTCATGAACATATACGTTGTCACGACCAAAATGTCCATTTCTCGTCTTCTTTGGGGCGACCGATGGAAACTTCATGGAGAAATACAGCGTCACGCCATCGTGATAAGGTGTTTATGACAACTGACCGGTGTGAGGATAGTTTCGTGTAGATCAACCGACTTCAACATGTTTCAAATAACATACAAGTATAACAGTGTATCTTCAGAGAATTTCAGATTGCTCAAATTCCCATGGAAGAAGGTGCAGGTGGATGATATGTACACGATTTGAAGTTTATGTTTGTAGTTACGTCGAGTTGTCCTCCACGAAGGTTGATCAATTTTTTTAAAAGATGACAAACAGAGGCGAGATTTCTCTTCGGGATATTGCTCATAAGATAACATTCTTTCAAAGCCTCGCACGTTTCATTTGTCTGAAACGTTTGTTGTTGAGAACATTAGGTGTAAACATCGCCAAATTATGCAATATCTGATTTTTGAGCTTTTTTTGCGAATTGCCCCTATAAAAAGTGGAGTCAGACCCGCAGAGATTTTTACATATTTAAAAACAAGAATATTATAACCAGCTAGGTGGTTAGTTTCGGTTCCAGAATCGGTGTACTTTTGAAGAAATTCAGATGAACGTTTTCCCTGTTTTACCCGACAACAAAAATGACCGAAACTGTACCGAGATGAATAATCTATTGGTGTGTTCACATTCACTCCCAGGGAAAATTGAATGAATCAATGTGAAGACAAATGATGTTACTATGTATGGTAGAAGTGCCAATTTTTAATGTTTTATTTAGCTTAAGATAGAGAAATAAACATTTCACTCTTTCTTGCGACGTTTTTGTATGAAAATCAGGCCCCAGGCCTCGAACAAGCAGTCGTTGTTACTATAGCAACAAGAGTGCTGCGGCCTTTAAAAAGGGCATTTTTGTGCATCCCCCCTGAGTGCCTAACTGCACGTAAAATTTGAAGGGGGTTGAAAATTTTCATTTCCCAAGATGTTTGATTCTTACAGACTTGATCTTAAGCGTTTCAATTCTTGGGCTAACAGGAGACAACCTTTAACCACAACTGTCTGGAAGATTTCCTGACATTCCGCTATATGGCATGGAACGCTTGAAAATATTATTGTAGCAAGCTATTACCAAGTAACGAGCTTACTTATCAGATGAATGTCACTGAAAACGAATCTATCCTTAGCTGATGAGAATGATGAACAAGCTGTGGGGCCACAGAGGTTTGACGAACTCCGGCTTTGTGACGAATTTATTTTATCCGGTGGCGATTTTTGCACAACATAACATGACTTAATAGTCACAAGACAGGACAGGACTTAAACAAATAATAATTTATGCATTTGCGATAGAGAAGTTACTTATTTCATATGTGACCGTAAAGTTAAAACTAAAGTTAAGACAAAGTTACTCTAAAAAAAAAAAGTACACTGATAAAATTATTGACCGATAAAATTGACCTCGCAGCTGACACTTTTGAAAGTGAAACGACAAAAACAATGAAAATCAGATAACAATTTTTCCTACATTCCTAAACTTCCCTCAGTAATGAGGCCAACCTATACCATGATTTTTAAGTGTTTTGTTCCACGGAAGAGATGAACAACTTTTAATACATCTTGATTAATGTAAGAACCACACGATACGATTCTACACGTTTTTGATCTTTTAGAATATCAAATATCATTGATGAATAAAGTTGATTTTTCTTGTCAGTAAAGGGTTTATCGAGTTTATATGAGAAACAAAATAATACATGGTTGCTTGTGGATATGAAATTTCTCTTCTCGTGTTCAAATCGACATCTCACCCATTCGCTGCGCTCACTCTTGAGCTACGTAGTTAAACACTCGAAGAGAAATTCCATATCCACGCGCGCCCATGCATTATTCTCTATGTAATCCTCTTTTTCCCACTTTTATGCAGGCATACACCATGAGTTAGTTAAATAGCACCAGAAAAATCTCTAGATTTTTAACCAAAGTTGTTTGGGTTTATTGTATAGCCTAACAAAGTAATCGAACCAAATTGATGTTTGAGGTTCGAAGCTCATATCCATCGTAAAAGTAAGCGTTATGATCAATAACACTATGACAAGATTAAAGTAATCAGTCAAGTAACGTTCTGCTCCTCACCAGAAATACACTATCTTTCCTCGTGAGCTCTCAGCGTGATAGGCTGACTTATCTTCTTACAGAAGACTGGTGCTTTAACAAAAAGTGAACGAGGTCAAGTTTATTACTAATGCAAATTACGGCCACTGGAAAACTACGAACTCTTGCATCGCGATTATCCTAATGACATCAGCAATGAAATAAATATATTTGCTTAATTACGTAATTGGGAAAACAATCAGTTTCTGCAATTACGGTTATTCACAACATGATATGCAAACATAAAAACCGGAAAAGCATTCATAAGGCTTTCCTACCAGAGCTTACTTCTCCAGAGTGACTGAATACTTTTAGATAACAAAACCCGAGTACCTAAGTTTCCCAAACATTCCGAAACTTGCGCTTTCACAGTTTTTTTTAGGGTATTCCGATGTTTTGGGTATCCAGATCACTTCTGTTTTGGGTATTCCCTCTTGGCTATTACTTTGAAAGTGAAACGGCAAAAATAATAGGGGACATGGAAAAGTAAAAGATCTAATTGGCAGAACAATAGCTCAGCACGCGCGTTTTAAAATTTTTTACATTTCTTAACCGTCCTATGCAAAACAATTCACCACGATTTGCGTCGTCTGCGAACCGAAACCGCGACGGCAAATTATTTTAATTTCCATTTGGAACTCAACGCTTCTTTTATACGTTATGCTGAAGTTGAGGTGTGGTGCCGTATGAGACGGCAAACAAATGCAGCCATTTTTAAAATTCTAATTAAACGCAGAAATTCATTTTTAAATCGAAGTCTTCCTTGCATTAGCTGCTTTATTTTTCTCCAATCATTCCGTACAGTTGAAATCGGACAGTGTAATCTGACAGTTGGCTGTAATCGGACAACTGTAATCGGACAGTCGCAAATGAAGAAGCATCATACTAGGTCCACTCAGCTAAATCCACCAATTACAGAATTAATTACAATAACCATAGCAACAACCACTTATCCTGAAAAAAGAAAACTGGTGAATTTCAAAAATTGGAGTAATTTTTTTCTTTTTCACGTTGTCTCTACCGGAGATGTTTGTCCAAAATGTAATTGTTGTTTGCGGAAATTTTTAATCACTCGGTATGATTACAAACCGAATTGGATTCCCCTCGACCCTATTGCGATAATCAATCATAAAGTTGCAATTTATTCGATTGTGATTGGTTTAAAAAACTCCCATTATCCACTGATTCACTTGCCAAGTTTTCATCGGACAGTTTGTTATCCAAAAAGTTTGTTATCGAACAGTTCGATAAGTTAATCACATTCAAAGCGGCAGGTTAAATCAACCAATCAAACAATTTACGCCTCCTCGCTAAGTCTTTTAATGCAAATTTTCTTTCTTTTCTTTCGTAACCTGGCTGTATTTCTTTTCTCAGAAATTGTAATTTTCATGATTAATTGGTAAGAAGACTTTGTCCAATTCAGTCTGAAATCGTACACGTGATAAACAAATCGGACTTCCTCTGCGCGGTCGTCCGACTTTTTCATCACTCCTGTGATTACAGACTCCACTCAGTCTTATTACAATTACATACATGATCATAGTGAATTCAAGGAAGTTGCTTTGTTGTTGTAGCTGACGAGAAACCGGGTTTTTACAAGTAATGAGCTCATTTATCTGGCGAATGTCCCTGAAAACAAATATTTCATGGCAAATGATCTATTCAGTTAGATTTTAAAACCATTTTTAAACCAGAGTCTGTTTCTTTCTTTAACAACTTAAAATATATGTAAAATCCTAGCTGAAATTCTAATATTAGTCTAGTTCACGAAGTTTGATGGCCGGCATTTAACTGTGATTGTTTTGTTGTTCAGA